TTGAGTAGCAAAACACTGAGTCTTCCTTGAAATTGCTTTGATTGTGGTTATTTTCTTGTCCCCTTATTAAAGCCACCTCCACCAGGGCTGGTGAGAGAAACTCAGAGTCATTGAACTTTACTGACCTGTGTTTTTATGGCATTTTCCCCCTCTGAGAGATTAGCTGTTCTGAAAAGGGCTGCCCAAGGGTGGTGAGTGACCTTGCTGCCTCTGACCTGTTGCCGATGCTTCCTAGGGGGATCCATCCAGACTTGGTCTTTGCTTTCCTCCCCTCTCGGCAGAGCCTCTCCAAATCCTCATCCTGAGGGGGCTAAAGAACCAATGTCAGCCCTCTCCTCCCCTCCTGGGTATCAGATACAAGGCACGGATCCCAGTTCTCTTTGAATTCCAGACGAACAGCAAATAGTTTTTAGTGTAACTGTCCTGTGCAGTTCTTTGGGACAGACCTGTATAAAACTGCTTTTTGTTTATCTGAAATGCAAATGTAACTGGCTGCCTGTTTCACTCTGCAGGTCCTGCCCAGAAGTTAATAATTAAATGTTTTCCCAGGTGTTGGCATCAGGTGTCAGCTGTTCCTGTAGAACTGCTAATTGGGTTACTCAAGCCCCTTACTAAGGTCAAGACCCTCCTGGCCAGCTCTCTGCCTCACCCTCCTGGGACTGTTCTGGAAAGACGCAGGGTGACACGACCCAGCCCCCTCCTCTGCTCACCTTGCTTCCGTATGTGACCCTGGTTCTTCCTCAGACATAGCCATCGGGGCCCTCTGCGCCGAGCTTTATGGCAGTCATGCCTCTTTGTGGCCATAGCCCTGAAAGCCAACTCTGGGGGATGGGGCGCATGTCCTCTGGGCTGAGCAGGCTTGTGGTAGCTGGGTGGGGCCTGCCTTACCACCCCCGCCATTTGTGGTCAGTTTGTTTCTGGACCTAGGTTCAGATGTAGGCACATTGTATATGGCCTGTAAGGTGAACCTCAAAAAACAGTGTATTTCCAACAATGAATTAAAAACTCCAAATCTGACCTGTCCTGGAAATGCCTGCAGGCCTGGGAACACCGAGCACATGCTCCATTAACCTGCGGCGGCTGGAGCGGAAATGCTGCACGCCTGCCTGACTTGGGGTCTACATGTCCCCAGCCTCTCCCGTCTCTGTGTCCTGCTGGCTCTCGTGTGCATCCTGTCCAGTGAGCTCTCACCTTGTACCCAGTCGGGTATCTAACAGGGGGCTTGGGGGCTGGGAAGCCTCTTCCTGGCCATCGTGACCCAAGTTATCTGTCCCAGGCAGGATCGGAGTTGGCCTACTGTGTGCCAGATGCCCAGCTGGGGGCTCTCACTGAGATGCTGACACTGAGGCTTGTCCACAACAGCGCCAGGGCCAGGCCTGCACTGCCCCGAAGCCTGTGCACTTTCTGGGGTGTTGTGGGCTCTGCGGAAGGACTGGGGGTCATCCTGTGTGGGAAGAGCTGCGGGCCGTGGAGTGTGCCTGGGGCCACGTCCTCGGTGGACGTTCCCACCTCTGCCTCATGCCTTGCTGCCCAGAAACCCAGTGGCCGCTGCTCCTCGTCAGACACCAACGTCCTCTGTGGCCATGATGCCGCGTTCCCTCTTTGGTCTTTCTCTTGGACTTTGCAGAGGCCAGAAAGACCCCTTCTCAAGGGGAGGCAGAGCCATCTTGAACTATTATACCTGTTAGTGCAGAAGCAAGCCTAGACAGAGAGCAAAGCCCAGTACGGGGAGCCAGCTTGGCCGTCCACGCCCATCACGACCACGGCAGCAAACGCCACTCCTCTCACACTGTCCTTGGCAGTCCAGGACAGTCCAGGACGGGGCCCCCTGGTTGCAGGGGAGGCCGGTTGTCATTCACTCTGGGTCCCTCTGTGTAGATGCTATGTCCTGTAGAGTTAGGTCTCTTTACTCGGCTCAGGGTTAATCCGGAGCTGTGACTCTCAGCCTGGGCACCCCTTAGATTGATCACTGGGAAGCTTTGGGAAGACCATACTGATACTGGTGCCTCAACTCAGGCCAATTAAATCAGAATTTCTGGCACTGGTATTTTTTTCTTTTAATGCTGTCCAGGTAACTTTCCTGAGCAACCAGGGTGTAAACTAGACATGCTTCATGAGAACCTGAGATGCAGCTGAACTGATGACAATTTTAAATATTTCACGCTGAGTGTGTACCAGGCACAGTTTTAGTACTTAATGCATGTTAACTCATGCAGATGGTGAACGCATACATGTATACACACGTATACCCATACATGACTCGCTAGAAAGAAGCTGCCTCGAGGCTGGGCCTGATTGAAAGGGGCCGTGTCTACCACCTTCTGTCTCCGGCCTCTCCAGATTCGGTGTGTCTATGATTCGGAAAACTTTGTGCTGAAATTACAAACGCATTTGACCAGTGAATATGGGAATACTCACCTGCCCTGAGATTTTAACTCAGAATTACACTGGGGTGAACTTTGGAATTTTTTTTTTTTTTTTTGAGACAGAGTCTTACTACATTGCCCTTGGTAGAGTGCTGTAGTGTCACAGCTCACAGCAACCTCAAACTCTTGGGCTGAAACGATTCTCTTGCCTCAGCCTCCCAAGTAGCTGGGACTAGAGGTGCCCACCACAATGCCTGGCTGTTTTTTGTTGCAGTTGTCATTGTTGTTTAGCTGACCCAAGCCAGGTTCAAGTCCACCACCCTTGGTGTACGTGGCTGGAGCTGTAACTACTGTGCTATGGGCACCAAGCCAGGGAATTGTTATTTTTTAAAAAAGAAACTTCCCTGGTGATTGCTAGGTGCTTGAGATGTTTTATCAGCTCAGTGTCTGTTCTCTTAGCTGGGCTAAAGGAGGCGCCAACAGAAGACGGAAAAGGAGCTTAGATCTGTGGACCAGCGCCTCCCGTTCACAGCCCGGCTGGGACAGGAATGCCAGGGACAAGAGCAGATGATCTTGAATCTCTGCCGTTCCCTGAAGACCCACCTGGTGAGGGCTGCCCGCCCAGGAGGTCGCTATAGCTTGCCCCTGCCCTTGGTGCCATGGGGCAGCCTCCAGCATTGCCAGGCTCTCCCGAGGGTGGAGATAAGCCAGAAATCTGGGTTTCCAGGTGAAATTTCCAGGTGAAATCCAGCAAACAGTGGAAACCTTGTGCAGGCCAATGGCAGGCGGGTCACCACAGACAGCATGTGTGTCTGTGGCCACAGGATCTGGGCCCCTCCTCTGTGGGCAGGTGGGATCTGGTTGGTGCTAATGGAGATGGGGTCTGGCGATTCTTTGGGGAGGGGCCTGCATCTCTCTCTTGTGAAGCACAGTGGTGGTTTTGTGCAGAAGTCTCTTCGCAGGGTCACAGACGAAGATCTAGAACGCTCCCTGGTGATGAACGTTGGTCCTTCCTGATAGAGAGGGGAGGGACACTGGTGTAATTTGCGTCCTGCTTTGAGGCCATCGGGGACAGTAGCAAGCTCTTCTTGCACCCGCTGCTTCTCGGTTGCCTTTAGCTCAAAACATCCTGATACCAGAAGGGCACCTTTTGGGGTGGCAGAGGCATCCTCCCTGCCTTGCTTCTACCGTGGAAGATTCCAACACAGAGAAAAGAGCATAGAGAAGATTATAGCCAACCTCTGTGTCCCCAGCTTCATCAAAGTTTGACATTGTATTGTGTTTACTGGAACGGATTTCAGGAAGTAGGTGGTTCCAAGCAGGGTGGCTAACCCGGCCAGCCGCTCCCTTCCTCCTGTGGGAGAACCATTCTCCCGAGTTTGTCCTTCCCTCGGACTGTTCCTCTCCGCAGGGCTGGGTGAACGTGTCCATACACGGCCTATGGAATCGTGCATCTTTATCTGGAAATGGCATCATCAGGATGTTTGAATCATTCTGCACATTGCTTTCCTTCTGCTCAGCATTACGTTTTTGGGATCACCCGTTTGTAGCTCGAGTTCATTCATTCTCACAGTGATGGAGTTTATGGGAAGCAGAGACTGATTTGACCAGGCTGTCCCTAAGTAGCTGAAGACCGTGTTTGCTGGGATGGCAGGGTTCTTGCAGGGAACAGTCTGTACATCTTTCCGTGTGCACATGGCTTCAATCTTTCTTGTAGAATTTATGCAAAAGTAGAACTGCTGGTTTGGCGTGGCACGTCCTTCACCAGGTCCCCAACACCCCCGGTTCAAGCCAACTTTTGTCTGTGTGGGCCACTTCTCCACAGAAGTGGGTGTCATGTTGGGCTGTCCAAACAGTGGACAACCTGCTCCCCAGAGTTCTGTGTCCTTTCGTCACTCACTTGAAAGCCCTGGTCTGTGGTGGCTTGAGCAGCCTGCCCCAGGTCCTGGCTGGAGAACTCACATTGCACTTGACCTTGAGGAAGCTGCATTCCCACCTGCCCTTGCCTCATGGGAACCCCGAGTCTCCCAGCTGCAGCCCGCTCACGACTTTGGGTTCCACTCTACTTTTGGCCCCAGAGATTCACTTATTTCTGAACCTGGCCTGTCTTTTGTTCTATTTTTGCATGGTCCCTCTCATTGCTGTGTGTTTGAAGCGGAGTGGGTTATTATAGCACGAACTTGCCACCATTCTGACCTGAAGCCTGCATTTCCTCCTCTCCCGCAGCTCTATCTTCAAAGGAAAACAAAAGGTAGCCTTTCTTTTTCCACCTTGGGAAGTTTCAAACAGCCCAGCAGCCCTTTGGTTAATCCTTGTGGGCTGTGGTCATCCTCACAGTTAGTGTGGGTGCCTTTTAAATGCCAGGTTTCATAGTGCAGAGGCCAGAGCTTGAAGGGTCTCTCCAGGTCCTGGCTGCCGCCGCCTTGGCCCAGGTCCTGGGGAGGAGCGGGCTGCGCCAACTCACTGCTGCCTCCAGGGACCTGTATGAGCTCACGCAGGAGGCCCTTGTCTGCCTACCACACCAGTAAACATGGACTGTGGAAGTGAGCGCATGCTTACAGTCTGCACTGCGCCCTGCGTTTTCCTGAGTTTTCACATTTCCCTGTCTGTTCTCTCCCCTTTCCCTCCCTGCAGACAGAGGCCGCCATGCCGCGCAGCCCCACGTCCAGCGAGGACGAGATGGCTCAGAGTTTCTCCGACTATTCCATGGGGTCGGAGTCAGACAGCTCCAAAGAAGAGACCATCTACGATACGATCCGGGCCACTGCCGAGAAGCCGGGCGGCCTCAGGATGGAGGAGAGCCAGGGCAACACTCTGGTGATCCGCGTGGTCATCCAGGACCTGCAGCAGACGGTGAGCCATGCGCTCCCTGATCCTGCCCTTGGTTCACTCTGGGTGGTGCTCAAACGCCACAGCACGCCTGCGGTGCTCCCCAGATACCCACTTCTGACCACTCCAGCTCTGTGCTCCACTCTCACGCCAGACTTCTGCCCCGTCCCCTCCCCACCTTCTTCCCATCTGCCACCAGCCATGTGTCATGTCCTCCCTGTTCCCATCTCGATCCACAGACATCCATTGAGCACCTGCCACATGCCGGGCCTGAGGCCAGGGCAAGATACTCAAAGGAGAGTGTCAGAGCCTTGCAGAGGGGCTGGGGTGGTGGGCGTACTGGCCAGAGGACTTGCAGCCCTGCCTCTTCCCAGTGCCCAAACTCAGCCCTGTGGAGCCCTGGTGGTCTCTACTCCCCCACTTCTGCGCTGCAGGCCCTGTCTGAGTGCTCTCTAGCCCTGGGCTCAGTGTCACCCTGGCGTGTCTCTGTGGTCCACTTTCCTGCGCCAGGGGGGGCCTGCTGGTGGGTTTGCCTCCATTGGGAGGTCGGCCCCTGGGGGCTGGGTAGGGACAGAGGCCAGGTCAGGAGGGGGCCCTGCTGCACAGGTGACTCCAGATGGATGGTGTGGACATGGGATGAGCATTGTCCAGCCACACCATCTTGTCCATCCAGACACACGACTCCCTGAGCATGTGACCCCTTCATTGTTCCCTTTTCTTCTTTGGAGATGCCATCGGATCTTTCTGATGAAATTGGAAGCTGCTCAAGGCAGAGATGAGTGCTTCCAAATCACTCTCTCTCTTTTCTGACCTCTTCCCCGTTACCCTGAAAGAGCTAAATTTCGGGGCGGTCCATTCTCGCCAGGGGCTTTGCAGGTCTGGGAGGCCTCCGGTACTTCTCCAGGCCAGGGGCATGAGGCTGGGGCGTGTCCCCCTCAGCCTTTGCTTGCTCAGCATCTGCAATGAGCCAGGGTCTGTTGAGGGGAGAGCTAGGAGGGAAACGCCAACAAAGTGTGACCGGGACCATTCTGTGTGGTGGGGGAGGCCATGAGTGAAGAAGGCAAGCCAGGGTGGGGGCCGTGGGCAGTGGTCTCTGTGGGACTGCCAGGTGACCCAGCTGTGAAGGGAGAATGCATAAAAAGCACGCCCCAGCAAGAATGTGGTGATGGCGGTGGTTAGAGGGGGAGACCCAAGGTGGGCAGGGCCCAGGTGAGGTAGGAGGTGGGGGTGGGACCAGAGATGAGGTAATGGGCAGGGCTCCAGGTGAGCTGGAAGGTGGGGCTCCGCGTGGGACCAGCGATGAGGTGGCAGGTGGAATCTGAGATGGGGGGAGACCCTGGGCTGGAATCTATGGTGGTGGGGCGACCCTGAGGTACGGGGCAGACTGAAGTTAGGTAGGAGGTGTGCCAGCCTCCGCGGATTTGGAAACGAGTGTGATTTTCACTGTAACTAACAGGGCAGGGTCTGAGGGCTGCAGCCCAGGGCTTATTCTGTCTTCTGGTGTGTCCTGCGTGGTATCTGCTTCTTCCCAATTAATTCATGTTAAATTCGACAAAGCAGTGTTTAGCATCGCTTTTATCCCAGGCACTGGGGATGTAGAGATGGACAGTCCTGTCCCAGCATCACAGACTGAGGAGGATGGTGGCTTTGGGGCTGAAGAGCACCCTCAAGTCCCTGGGCAGTGGGCACAGGGGCCAGCGTGTCTTCCCCCAAGTGGCCTGGAAAGATGAGGAGGTTTCCACTGTGAGGAGGGTAGGGGGCGAGGGAGCCTGTGCCTCTGAGAGTGGGTTGTGCCTGGCTCCTTTGGGAAATGGCAGCCTGGGGGCAGGTGTGGGGTGGAGGTAGGTGTGAGGTAGGGTTAAGTTCACCGTGGGGGACAGTTGCAAGGTGGAAGCCAGGTTGGGGCAGGCTGGGTTTGAGCTTCCCATGGAGTCACGTCCAGGGTCCCTGAGTGTCAGGCAGAGTCCTGGGCATGCAGGAGAGTGAGTGGGCCTGGAGCAGCTCTCTGAGCTGGCAGGTCCCACATAACAGCCAGGCACGGTGAGAAGCCTGAATCCCCAGTAGTGGGGAATTCTGCTGTGTCTCTGGGTCAGGTGACTGTTGCATCACTACCTGGCTACTCGGTGTCCCAGCTCCAGCCCCAGGCACTGCAACGAGGTCTCTGTGAGGGGTGTTCTTAGAGTGCAGAGGAAGGAGCAGGTCTTTATCCTCTGTCTGCCTGCTGCAGAATGAGCTGGGTCGCAAGCCTCAGAGGCGCTCTCGGTGGCAGGCCTAGCACCTCTACCTGCCTCTGCACGGCCCCCGGCCTGGGCTCAGATGGAAAAGGGCAGACCATGGCTCTGCCTCTCAGCCAGTGTCCTGGAGCCTCACTGTGTGCCCACCTAGGGTCTCATCCCCTAGTGTTGTGGAGATGCTAACAGATCTCTGTGCCTGGGCACCTCTGTGGGCTCTCAGTCTCCCCTTCCCCTAGTGTGGGCCATGCTCGGCCCAGCAGGGACCCTCTGCTTGGCAGGCCTTCCTGTTCTCTCCAGGCAAAGGAGGCAGTGATACTGACGCTTGTCCTCTGGGAACGGGGTCAGCCAGGTGGCTTCACCTTCTAGGGAAAGCTTGCGGTGACCTGCCCCTGAACTGATCCGTGCAGGCCCCAGGGGCCACCCTGGTACCCCGGAGTGGCTTTTCAGGAGGGTAGTTGCAGTCTTGGGTGTTCTTTTCTTCTTCTTGTCATTTAAGTTCTTTTACACAAGTTACAAATGTCTGAAAGAATCTAAGGACAGCAGGGAACTACAAAAGGTTCTGCAGAAGCAGTGGTCATTACCAGCATTAGGTGCCCGTCATTCTGGCAGCCTCTCCAGGGGACTACAGATCACGGAGATGTGTGCACAGGCTGCAAGGCGGCGGTGATCGCCGGCTTGAGGCATGCAGGCTGTCAATAAATGAACATCATTAGCGCTAGTTTATTTCAATATAAAAGGAGAAAAAGACAGCAAAGGAAATGCTGAGACTTTAGTTTTTTTTTTTTTTTTTTTTCTTTTGCCACAGGAGAGACTACGTCCAAGTACATCTGTAAAGTTAAAAGCAATGATTATGAAGCCCTGGAAGGCCGGGATTTGTTTCCATTTTTTAATGCAGTTTTTTTCCCCACTGTGCTTTCTTCCCTGTATCATTTGGGATAAACTAGGCCAATTGCTGTAATAAACAGACCTCCTGACTTCAGGCATTTGGTGCATAGGTGTTTTATTTCTGTCTGTCTTGTCAGTACACCAGGGCTGGCAGGAGAGAGATGTGGGAAGTTCAGATCCGTGCAGACATTCAGGGACCCAGGCTACTTCCAGGCGTAGGAGCCCTGTGCCATTCCTGGGGGCTCTGGAGTCCTGCACAGAGTTCTCCGTATCTGCCTGGAAGATGAGGGAGGGAAGAGAGAGAACTTGGCATCCTCTCTGGCTTCCCTAGGAGGCGGCACCTGACCACAGAGCGGCTAGAGAGGCAGTTTAGCTCTGAGCCCAGGAGGGGAAGGGCAGCAGCCTGGTGAAGGAGTAGTGTTGCGTGAACGCACATGCACATGCATCCCCCCCCCGATTCTTGCTGGGCATAGAACTCTTTGCCGGCAGTCACTGTTCATCACATTCAACCTCCGGTGCCTTCAGAGCACTGCAGTTGCTCAGTCTGCAGGGCAATGCCTGTTGCCAGCCTCTGCAATGGCCTTTTCTTTTTGTAGTTCCTTATTTTGTTTCATCCCTTTATTGGATAAAGTTAAATGTTCGGTGTCTTATTAAGGGAGAGTTCCTGAGGGCAGAGCTTCCTCAGTGAATGTGTAGTCAGTTCTCATTATTTGCTGTATTTGTGTTCAATAAAGTCACCACAAATTTAGAGACAATTGAGCCGTTGCTCCTGGGGGGAGCTCAGGAGTAGGTTGAGCAGCCTCTGCTCACACTCTGACAGCCAGTCAACGCATCCTCTTATTTTGTGTGTTTCTGTTTTAAGACACCTTAGTGAGCGTATATTGTTGTTGATTCATTAACGTTGACTCACGTCTGAACACATCGTCTCTAACGCTCGTGGTTTCTTCATGAAGCTCTGCTTGGCCTTTTTGCTCTTAGGAATGCCACGGAGCGCCTTAGCACTTCACTGGGGACCATATTAAATAGTGAGATGACCAAAAAAAGCACAAAAGACACGATAAAGGTGTCGCTAAATAGATTGTCATAAGGACACATGTTGACACGTCAAGAGCCAGAACAAAAAGGCAGAGCTGGGCCTTTCAGCCTCCCGTGGGGCGCGGGCACTGGGGACCTCAATTTTTTTCTATTCTGTGCATGTCTGTAAATGGTCACAAAAGGGTGTCAAGTATTGATTTGGGCTTACACATAAATTTTGGCAGGTAAGCACATCCCCAGATACGAAATCCATGAATGGCAAGGATTCACTGTATTTTGAAAATGTCAGTGTTCTGCCCTTCTGCTTGAATGCTCTTTTGTTGGATATCATATTTTTGAGTCATAATTCCCCCTCTGCTCCTGGTCTGGTGGGATGTTGTTTTATTGTTTTTTTGGCTGGAACATCGCTTTGGATACATCTGATGCCACCTGATTTTTTAATATCGTTCTCAGCCAGTAGATGATTTGGGGGAGGGGGAGGGACTAGATCCCCGAAGAATTGGCTTCAGTTTGCTAGACCAAGAAATAGTGGTCATTCTTGATTTTGTTTCCTAGAAAAATGTCTGATCCGCAGGTTCTGTTTGTCTTTTGGTTTGAGGACATTTTCTTGTGTTCTGTTACTTGTTGAGTAGTATAATAATTATCCTGTATTGGGTTTTCCTTTTCCGTATCTGTTACCTTTTCTCTCATTGCTTTTTCGTTGCTTTTATTAGTAACAGCTCAGCATTTTCCTTCTTGTTTTCTCTTTCTTGTGTCTTTATCTGTTGCCTTTTCAGTTGGATCTATTCTGTTTCTTGTAATTCCCAATTTGCTGTAGTATTTTCACTTTGCATTTGTTTTCGTAGCCCTGCACACTTCTTTTTTGAAAAG